AAATAAATTGTTAAAAGACTAAATTAGTTTCCTACTTCTTGAGTTCTCCTTTTCTCTGGAGAGTTAGCTGTTCTATCAGACGTATTCACTCCTGGGTGTTTATGAGTCTGTTTATAAAGACTGAATAAATATTATCAGTCCAATCTGACTGGTGCCCTAACTCTGAGTTAGAGTCCAGTTCTTCTCTGTGAGAACATGTGTGTGTCGTCTAACAACAGTCTGAAGTTCAGACTCTGAACTGTTTCCTCTTTCATCTGATTCATCTACTGCTCACAGCTTGTGCTGAAGTCAGAAGAAAAAAGGCTCAGAGCTGAAGATTTAAATGACATTTGATGGACAAAGTCACAATAATGACAGAACAAATGTATGAAAACTTAAAGATGATAAGAAAAGTTCAAACCAGCTGAAGAACTGGAGCTGGTCTACCTCAGCTTCATGCTACTTTCCTTACTGAGGAGTTTACAACAGAGCTCATTGATGACGTCATCTATTAGCATGCTAAGCTATTAGCAAAGAGAGCTACTCAAGTGCTTCTAAAGAGAGGAAAGCCTTTAGCTAGCAGAAACCTGCTGCTAACATCATCACATTAAACAGAAAGAATCAATGACACAAACATGCTGTGTGCAGCTGATGGTTAGCTGCTGCTAGCTACAAAACAACGAACGGAACTGTTTWTTTTATTTTTTTTTTATTAATTTTTTTATTATTTTTGCTGAACGAAAGCTTCTGGTGAAGGGAGGAAGTCACTTCCGTTAGTGGCAGGCCTTCAAAATAAGAGCTCCAACTGAACTGCTCCAAGTAGGGGTCTCTGCGGACGAGTGGGCGTGTCCCAACAAAAAGCTATTCTAAAGCGACACACCTGATTTGACGGATTTTTTAAAGGGACACACCTGACTGGACAAGCAAAAAAAGGTGCGTCACCGTACGGCACCACCTGATTGGACAAGAACAAAAGGGGCGTTACTGTACGGCACCACTTTTTCTAGAGAACCATACCTGGGTCACATTTCTCCTGTTTAACCTTAGTGTTGGGGTCAGGGTCAGGCTGTATCGATGTCAAGCGGGGTCTAAGGATACCGTCATGTAGGCTGTGTCCAAAACGACAGGACGGGTCCTCCGGAGGACCCAGACTCCCCGGTCTCGGCGGGCCGGGTCCTTGGTAGACCGGGAAG